GAAAAAGAAAAACCTAGAAACTCACTGTTTCCAGACTGGCAGCAAAAATCATTTATTGTGGAAAAGCTAAGCTTGAAACCACTAAACCCCAGTAATTTCCATCCACTCTGTCTCTACCACACACACGCAGATACATGGAAAGAGAACTTTCTGAATTAATTTCCTGGAATATGTAAGGCATCCTGACACCAAAAGTAACTCTCCTCACCCAGGGAGACTATTGTAGAATGTCCCACAGAAATGAATGCAGCTCTTAGCAGTTTCTGTTTTTCAAAACAGCTGGTGTGACTAAACTGAATCCAGATTTAAACAGGAGGAGGGCATTGGCAAGAGACTTTCAGTAACAAGGTCTTAAATCTTAGTTTATTCTCTATGCGCAAGAGCTGTCATCTGCAAACCTTATGGTTACACAACGTGGCTTTTTATGCTTTCCCAGCCTTCTCTTAGATATAGGAATGGTTGATTAAACCCATTCTGAGCTATGTTGTTACATCAGACACGACAYCGTTGCATCTGTCTCCACTGTCTATAGAAATGACCCAGGAAAGTAATATTTGAAATACTTATCCATGCTAGAACAGACACGCTAAAAATGCTTAGGTAGAATGCCGTAAAAACATTTCACATACATAGATAAAATTTATGGGTAAATAAAATATATAAATTAAATATTAAGGCAGTCTTTAATAAAGCATGTTTCTGAAGACTGAATTCTAGTTCATAGTCTGTATTTAATTCAAATTATTTTTCCTCAGTGGGGTGAGAGGTGAGCTGGATGCCTAAGCCTAATTGCAATCTGCCAGTAATAGAGCTATTTTATGTGGTTAGCACTGGCTTCTTTTTTGATGAACTTTTGCAGACTGAGTGACACCAAATAATAGAAATATGTAAGCAGAAAAACATGCAGTAAGCACGGGGAATTGGAACATCGTGTTGTCAGTGGTTAGAGAGCAAGAACTTCCCTAAGGAAATACTTAAAAAATGTGTTTGTAGCTATAAAAGCTGTAAGTTGAAGGCACCATGCACGGACTTTGTGCTGTGCAGAGAGTGCCACCCTCTGCTCCTGCAGAGTATGGAGCCTTTCCCTMTTACCTGACTCTTCTTCTTTCACTTGTGCAATTCTCACTCACACAGTAAGTTACAGAATTAGCCAGCTGGACAGGAACTCCACAAATGGTCTGTATTCCCTGGTAGTTTTGTTAGGTCAACTCTTTAATTTGGCATTATTTGCCTTTTTATTTATTTTTTCTTTTTTTCCGAGAAAAGATGAAGAATTTTCCCCTCCCCTTTTAGCAAAATGGCTCTGTGGGCTCCTKAAAAAGACAATTCCTATTAAGGTCTGAGAGAGCTCACTTGGARAGAAGGCAGCACGGCAGCTCCTGTATACAGTCTATTGCAGGGTGAAAGAATGCTGCAGCTGGCTGTGGTTAAAGAATTTGTTGTGGTACCTTCTGATCTTTCTTCCTGAAGAATTAAAGAGTGCCCTGCAGCAAGAACTCTGACAGGCTTTGGGATAAGCCATGGGCTCTTTTCCTGCTGGAGACAGAGACTGCAGTTTAYACAAGTTGTCTCCTGAAAATTTACAGGAATCCCTTCACTTAAAAGCCTCATYTGTGGAAGTGTTTGACATTTTTTCTGGCTTTTTAAACAACTACCACGACATTCCTCTGTCGTGCTAAAACTTCCATTACTGATGACAGACATCTTTCAGTATGGAGGATTCTCCTGCTCTTTCAAGCAGCCTCTTTAAGCCTGTTGCAGCTTTGTGCCTTGCTACGGCAATCATCTCCAAACAAGTGATTATTCCTGTAGCTGGGGCTTTGGTGCTATGTGGCAGACTAGCAGGTAAAAAAGAGATATTTTGGAGCTTTACCCAAGATCGACATTACATTGTTCTGGAGAGAGTGGATCAGATTCAAGAAGCAAATAATACAAATATTCCAGCTGAAGASAACAGCTACTTTAGTGACTCAACAAATTGATTTCTCTGTTGCTGTTTTTTGGTTTTGAGTTTTCTGCGAGAAGCAAAACTCCAAGCTTTTAYATTCTTAAAAGAAATCAAAACCAAATCAAACAAAGATCAGGCATTATAGTYTTCCTCACCATATTGTTCTTTACATCTGCAGAAGAATATCCATCACTATTAAAGATTTGAAACACGCTGTTTAATGCATGCAGGGAAACACTCTGTTGCTGTCCGTATCCAGGAGCTCGGTCAGCAGGTTTGCAGTTCAAACAATGTGCGGGTGGTTTGGGTTTATCAACCCTCCTGACTTGTGGAACAGCTTCCCTCCTTCCTAGAGAAACAGCTCAGGGGATTCATGTTCATAATATGGATCATTTGGAAAGGTTGATAACAGAGGAATACCTGGAAAAGTGGGTTCTATTTACCTGGCAGTATTTAGGGTGGCAGTATGACGTTAGCAGGAGTTTTCATTATGAAATTAAGTGCTCTGATCCACCACCTCCCAGTGCCCCAGTGGGATACCCAGTGCCAGAAAGACGCTGAAAACTCTTAAGGATTGATTTACGAGGAAAAGGTTATCGAGAATGCTGAAAACGAGACATTTACAGGACACGTCACTGGACTCTCCTGACCCTGTAAAAGCCAACACTAATACGGGAACGTGAATGATGCAGATGCAGAAGGCTTCGAGGGGCTTGGATGCCTAAGCGTGACTGCAAGCTGCCAGTAATAACTATTTATATGTGGTACAATTGCTGTACTGCTTTCACACAGAGGTTACAAATTTTAATTCATGCACAATTCAGTTTTAATTTATGCAAGTCGGTGCCAGCCCGGGGATGCCRGCGGAGGAGGCGGTCAGACCCTCACGCCTCAGGGAGCCCCAGCACAGCTCCGGACGGGCACTGAGGGCGGCCCGGCCCGAGAGCCGCTCCCCCTCCGTCCCTCCGTCCGTCCCTCCCTCCCTGCGCTGCCGGAAG